GCGTCCAGCAAGGGCAAGAAGAGTGAGTGGCCGGGACGTGCTGGTATTGCCTGGGGTCCAGCCAGGCGCCCCCGGCGATCCTGGTTTGCCTTCTCTGGTGGTGGTGGGGGGTGCACGGGTCACCCTCGCCCTGGGCTCCGCGGCTGACGACTTTCTGTCCCTCTCTCCCAGCGGAGTCTCGGGGGCCGAAGGAAAAGAAAGTGGCCCGGACGAGGTCGAAGGTCAAGAACTCGGACGACGACAGCAGCCCCAAGAATGGCCAGAAGAAAGTCAAACTGATCCACACGTCAGTGTCTCACCCACATTTTTTTTTGTCTGTCCTCACTTCTCACTCTCCTTGTTACCCTCCATCTCAATCTTTTGTCTGCATCTCTGCCTGTCTCCCCATCTTCGTCTTTGCTACGTTCTCCGTGGAATGAAGTTCTGTCTGTTTGCTGTGCTGTCTGTCTGTGCAGTGTTTACACCCTTTTCTGATTAAACCCCTCTCTCTCTCTCTCTCTCCGACTTTCAGGGGAGAATACAGCACCCCCTCCGTGAATTTTGGGAACGTTCACCCCTCTGATGTACTGGACATGCCTGTGGACCCCAACGAGCCCACGTACTGCCTCTGTCACCAGGTTTCATACGGAGAAATGATCGGCTGTGACAACACCGACGTGAGTGTCCAATCGTGCGTCTGTATGTCCTCTGTGCGTCTCCATGGTTGTGCGTGATGTGTGTTGTTTCACTATTTGGCTTGCGAAGCATGTTGGTAGTATTAGGTGTAGTGTCACTGTGGGCAGGGCATTGTGCGTCTTGTCAGTATTAACAGCGCAGGGCGGTGATGTCTCTTTGTCGTGGTGAATTACTGTGCTGGGTTGTGCAGGATGTGAATTAACAGCGCGGTGTGGTGCAATGTGTGTTCATGTTGCAGTGCTCCATTGAGTGGTTCCACTTCGCCTGTGTGGGACTGACTACTAAACCCCGAGGAAAATGGTGAGGGAGGGGCAGGGAGAGGAGGGGACAGGCTGGAGAGCGGGGGGGGGACTGGAGGGGCAGGAGTGGGAGGGGCTGTAGAAGCAGGGGAGGAGCTGTAGAGATGGGAGGGAGAGGAGTGGGAGGGGCTGTAGAAGCAGGGGAGGAGCTGTAGAGATGGGAGGGAGAGGAGTGGGAGGGGCTTTAGAAGCAGGGGAGGAGCTGTAGAGATGGGAGGGGCAGGAGTGGGAGGGGTTGTAGAGGTGGGAGGGACATGAGTGGGAGGGGCTGTAGAAGCAGGGGAGGAGCTGTAGAGATGGGAGGGGCGGGGCTGTAGAGACTGGGGAGCGGGAGGGGAGGCGTGAGAGTGTCACTGAGGACGTGCTTGAGAAGTTTTGAAATGAGATATTGCCAGCGTTTAAAATACTGACCTTGTACTTCGTTGTATTACCTGACATCCTCTTTGCTGTGTTGCCTCTCCCCCGCAGGTACTGCCCCCGCTGCTCCCAGGAGCGAAAGAAGAAGTGAACAGGGAGAGAGGATAGCAGAGGGCTGGAGGGGGGGAGGTGTTCTTGTTAGGTCAACTTCATTTCTCTTATTGCCCGGCATTCGGTTCTGTGATTTCCTTCCTGATTCTCTCTTTTTCTGCTGTGTGGGAATCCGGTCTTCTTTACGGTCTGCCTTTCAGTCCACTTCCCCCCCTGCCCCCCCCCCCGACCCAGCTTACAAAAAGAGAAAATATTTAAAAGGAAAGGGCAGCTATAATAAAACTAGGATTCCACCCGACAGAAAAGAGGAGGGGAGAGGGGGGTCCAGTGTCCAGTCAGTCTCGGCTCCTCTGTTTTCAGAGACGGTGGAGGACAGGGACTGGCCTCCCCCTCTCTGAACCTGGTTGCTGGAGTTTGTGTTGATCCGGAAGAGTCCATCCCAGTATGCCTCAGCGAACAATCAAGGACAGCGGACTGCCCAGTGCGGCGGTTTACGTAGTGACAAAGTGGAAAAGTGACATTTCTCAGCTTTTTAGAAAGCAGGAAATAGCAATAATAGCAGAAGAGCCAAGCCGATGACACAGCATGCGCAGCGAGTCCCAGAAGTCATCGTTTCCTCTGCGGAACCCAGTCCGTTCGCCCCCCAGCTCCCCTTCCGGTGACAGTGGGAAAGGTCCCAGCCCCAGCGTTTCTCCCTGGATTTCTCAATCCTTCAGAAATCGCTCCTTAGAACAGTATTTTAGAAACGCGAGGGGCGATACAAAAGCACATGGGTAAACGGGCATAGTATCGATTTGAGTGTTTCTGCGTTTGATCGCCCATTGCCCTTTCAGGTCAGTTAGTTTACCAATGTAAGTCGCTTTGGAGATGTTTAAGGATTTACATGTTGGAAAGTTAAAGCCTAAAAAGAGAAACAGCATTGCACTCACAGTTGTAAATGGCCAGACAGAAAAGAGGTTTTCTTCTCAATTGTAAAACCGTAGTTTTGCTGCTGCTGTAGTTCCATACAGCTAAGGACGTTGTTCTCCGTGGTGCTTCTCGCAGAAGAGCGTGGCTTCTTCCGAATACAGAGAGAAAGAAAGCCACAGGAATGTCGACACAAATTTTGGGAGTTTAATTCTGCTGTGGAACTGTAGGATTTAAGATCGCTGGACTGGAATTACTGTACTTCTGCAACCAGTTTGGACTGGCATTACTGTAACATGTAGCTACACTAGTTTTTGTTATTTTACTGTATTGTAGAATTACTGTTTTCTTCCCTTACACTATCATATTCCAAGTCTGGTCATTTTTAAATGCCTTTTCCCAAACAGCTGAAATCTCAGTGCTGGAGAGCTGGGGCTAGACTGTCTTTTAAGAGATGACTGTACGGACTGTAGCTTCCTGTCCCGTAACCCTCTTCTCTCTCCCCCTGTGTCACTCTGGTGAGCGGGGATCTCCAGTCCTGGTGCTGGACAGCCACTACGTTTGTATTTTGTTCCTGCTTTACTCTGAATAACCCTAAATCTGATCGTTATTGGTTGATTGGACCACTTGAAAAGGTTTTCCCAGCTTGTCAAGTCCAGGTGCTCTGGAGAGATTAGATACCCTGCAGACACACCAGCCCCTGTATAAGACACAAAAACTCGGTTCGGTGCAAGAAATCAAGTCTATTGGCCCCGTTTCTGAGAACGGTTTCTGTACTCTGGTCCAACTTGGAATCAGGTTTATTAGCAATCGGTAGAGAGAAGTATTTGCACCCTTTGTCTTATTGGTGATGTCATTAGTTATGAAAAGGATTCTGGAATATGATCCTAGGGGGTCCGTAGGATTTCATGTTAGGGTCTCTGTATTATCAGCAGCAGAAGACCAGTTGGGAAGGGATAAGATGGTTTCTCCAGGAATCCCCAGTTCAGGAGGGCTGTTAAATTGGTTCAGTTATTATATTGGTGAGCTGAATTAGATTGTTGGGAGCCCAGGTGGACTGAAAACCTGTAGACTCACCATCCCTCTGGATAACAATTGGCCATGCCTACACTGGAGCAGTTTACAGCTGGAAGAGATGGACATTTTGCTGAATTACTGATCCCACGGCCTAGAGTCTGGGAGCTGTGCATTACAGCAATTCAGTGTCACCCGTGAAGGTGAAAAAGTGTCTGCAAGCTGAGTCACGTCGTCCGTAACACTTAGCTGTGAGCAACACTGCTGCAGATGGCGATAGATAGTACCAGGGCTTACCATCTGGGCCCAAGTACCCCACTCTGCTGGTAAGGGTTTAGATACGCGCTGTTCATATAGTTACAGGACAAATTAAATTATTAAATAAATGATAGTTCCTGTCTGTTACTTGGTGCCTGTACAGTGGGCAGATGTGTTCTGAAATGTTACATATCTAAACAGCACCGTGGGGAAAGATTCCTGATGGACACCATCAGGAGTGAGACAGGCAGATGAAACTGACCACACTTGTCCCCTAGTGCACGCCTGCTGCTCCCTGCGGGGGCATACTCATCACTCCGCTGTTTTAATAGGCCCAGTCCAAGTGCTCCAGAAAAACAGAAGTGTTACCTGATTCCTGTTAATTAGCTTCAGCAGTGATTGTCTCGAGAGGCGCAGCTGGCCCATTGTGATTGGAGTTGTAACAATTAGTAATGTTAGTAATAGTGATGCAGGGAGCCCTGAGGGGGTGTCATATTGCACAGAATTTCCAAGGCCTCTAGGACCACCAGCAGCGGTTCTGCATCCTATGAAGGAGGGCTGAACTGGACCGGTTAGCCAGTCCGAACCGTACTACAGGGTACAGGGGTTGGTCCTGGAGGGCTAGAAAAGCTGCAGGACCCGAGGAGCTGGGACAACCTGTTCATTTTTTGCCATTGAACCAGTGGCCTGCCGATTTAGGTTTTAGATCCAAGCTGGAAAGAAAACCTGCTTTCCAGGGCCAGGAACACACAGCCCTGCTCAAAGGATGTGCCTGGGAGATCCCCTACTCCAGGGACACAGATCTCTGCAGTTCCACTTCATTTGCCAAACTGCGACACAAACAGAGTGACCAGGGAGAGCACAGACCACAACCTGTCTTGCGTTGGATTGTCCAGCAAGGAACAACAACAATAAAATAATTGGTGCTGTGTGTCATTATTCCGGTTATGAATTACTATAACGTGAGTGTTAAACCCCTATTGCAGCATTAATCTATTAAAGAAACATAAAACTGGAAAGGTGTTGTGTTATTTGTTAAAACAGGCCAGGACTAACTTTACTGATTAGTTATAAACTGAGATGACAATCGGCCTCCCCTTGTCAGGGCTTTAACTTGATGTATTTAAAAAAGTACAGTGTGTATTTTTCTGATACGTTAACAGCACATTGTTTTTACATTTTTTGAATTACTTGTCAAAAACCATACAAAAATAATTCTGTAAAGACAGAGGGAACACAGACGCCTTAAATTGCTCTAAAAACGAAGAATGGGGAGCTGTGTCAGCATGTGATATGCCAAGGAACCAAAGGGAAGCTAATTGCAAACTTCAAAAGCATTTTTTTCCCTCTCTCGGCAATTAATTAACCTCTGCTTATTCCATTGTAAAAGGAAAACTGGGTGTTTAATTGAAAAAAAAAATAACATGCTGACAATTATCTTAGAGATAAAGAAAATAGGACTGAACTGACATCACTGTGAGCTGGATTAGTTCCCAGAATTCCCCACTGGCACAAGAAGACTACGCAAACTTGGCAAGAGCCAGGAAGGGGGGTGGATGTATGAATCACTTAAGATGAAACTTTAACAAAGTCCACTCCCATAAAATTAACTTTAAAAGTCACAGCTTTCACAGAGGCAGCATTTTCCCGTGTGTCGTCAGGCTGCTTTCCTGAAAGGGACCATGGGAAGCATGGCCTTCAATATCATCACGTAGCTGTAGAACAACTGCATGTCCCAGAATGCCTTTGAGATCCAGACCCTGCTTGTCCCACAGCAAGGGAAGATGGGAAGCGTAGTATATACTCTGCTGCACTGTTGAGGACTTTTCACTCAGTCTAGTTTGGTTGCTTCGCTTTCTTAAACTTTTTAAACTTGTTCTTCCCCTTCGTGTCATTTTTCTTCCCCAGGTTCTGGCTCTTCTTCTTCTTCTTCTCGAACCGGCTCCCTGCCTTCGACCCCCCCTTCTTCTCCCCGTCCGATTTCTTCACTTGCTGCTTCCCCTCTGGTTTCTTTTCCACCTTCGTCTTCCCTCCAGCCTTCTTTGCCTGTCCTTTCT